TAGATATTTTTACGTTCTCTTCTTTTTACAGAACAGTGTGAAGACTTATGATTACTGCAAAGAAGTTTATTTCAGCATTTCAACACATTTGTCTAATATAAGTGCTTTAAAATTAAATAAAAAGAAAACAGAACAATCTCTGTGGGATTTGATCTGTAGAACAAAGATTTAGTAGCTCTGCTGTAAATTAGAATTTTCTACTGCTAGAGGATACCCTGATCATTTTCCACCTGAGCTGCTTCTCCATCATCTTCAACAATAGGCATAATCTTAGAATTATAATCTGGCACAGATCCAGGCAAAAAAAAACCAACAAAAAAAACCCCAAAAACAAACCAACCACACAAAAAACCACCACCAACAAAAAAACCCAAACCAAGGAAAAAAACCCAACCATCCCTTTAAGACATGCAATTCAGATTCTTCTAAATTGAACAATCCCAGACTTTGTATACAGCTTAAAATGGTATTCTACTCTAAATGCCAATGAAATATTATTGGCAGGCAAAGGTGGAATAGATAATAAGTGATATACCCAGCACTTAAGCATATATATTTATTTACGGGGAGCTCTTGTGGACCAGTGAATCGAGATGTAGTACTTTTGCTGTCGGCATGCTGTAGATTCATCCCTTTACTCCACAGGCAGTGATACCCTCCTTCTGCAGAAAGGTTGAGCTGTGATCTCTGCCACTGAACAAAGCAGCTCATTCATCGCAACGCATGGCACAGGACCGTGACTCATAAGCATTACATTACTGCTGTTAGATCCTTATAATTGCAGTTTTGGCAACATTACTTGAAACAGCTTTGTGACTACTGACAAACTGGAAGACACCCACATAATACCTTCTGCAATGAAAGTACAAGTGACTTCCTACTGCAATACTTTGGGACAACAAAATTATCTAAGAATAATGTTAATTAGCACATGTCAAAACAGATGGACACGGATAGTGTAGTTCCTCACTATGGAAGATTAGAGATTTCAAGCAAATATTATTTTTCATATTTCAGATACTTCAGTTTGAAAAATGTAAAAAATTGTTTGTGTCAACAGATAAAAAACTGCTCTTGAAACTACCAAGTTAGGTCCAGCCTCCAATCACTACCACCAATTAAAATTTTCCCATCCTTAAGATGACATACCCAGGAAAGTAGGTAGATTCTTTCTGAAAAAAGTAGTATTGTCACATATATTACACAGCCGTATATTAGGCTTGCATTTAAAAATATCTATAGCTAAAGATACTGTGCATGAAGAACGCTAAAAGTTAAAAGATTAGGTCAGAAATCTTCCAAGAACAACATGGAGTTTTTTCCAATGCATCACCAACCCCTCCTTTCAATGAATGCTATTGTGAATACTCATGAATATTAAATAAATTATTGAACAGCTCATCATCTACCAGCTTAAACCCCCATAGAAAAAAAAAGACCCACCCAAAGCTGCACATATTCCAAAGAACTTCCCACAGTTGTAACTTATTAATTATTAAATGAGTCTGAAATAATTACAAAATATAAAGTAATTAAAATTATTAAGTGAGCCTAAAATAATAGCAACAAGGTTTAATGAAGTGGTGCAACATCAAAACTCAGTATCTAACCAAAAATAAACTTTCTGAGGGATGAGAGATGAAAGGTTTCTCAAAAGACTTCATAGTGTGATCTGTCCTTCCTATCTTCATGAGGATACTTCTCAAGCTCTTTGCTGTTCCTTCCCACTCTCTTGCCTCTGGGCTCCAAGAATCATAGAACGGTTAGAAGAGACCTCAAAGATTCCAACCCCTCTGCCATGGGCAGGGACACCCTCCACTAGACCACATTGCCCAAAGCCCCATCCAGCCTGGCCTTGGACACTTCCAGGGATCCAGGGGCAGCCACAACTCCTCTGGAGAACCTGTGCCAGTGCCTCACCACCCTCATCCTAAAAAGCTTCTTCCTAATATCTAATTTAAATCTCCCCTCCTTCAACTTAAGGCCATTACCCCTTGTCCCATCACTCTACGCCCTTGTAAAAAGTCCCTCTCTAACCTTCTTGGAGGCCCCTTTAGGTCCTGGAAGGTGCTATAAGGTCTCCCCAGAGCCTTCGCCCCTCCAGGCTGAACAACCCAACTCTCTCAGCTTATCTTCATAGGAAAGGTGCTCCAGCCCTCTGATCATCTTCGTGGCCTCCTCTGGACTCACTCCAACAGCTCCCATGTCTGTCTTGTACTGCGGACCCCAGAGCTGGATGCAGTACTCCAGGTGGGGTCTCATGAGAGTGGAGTAGAATCACCTTGCACAGCCTGCTGGTCACACTGCTTTTGACACAGCCCAGGACATGGTTGGCTTTCTGGGCTGCAAGTGCACATTGCTGGCTCACATTGAACTTCTCATCCACCAACACTCTCAAGTCCTCCTTTTCAGGTCTGCTCTCAATCCATGCTCCACCCAGCCTGTAGTTGTGCTTGGGATTGCACCAACCCATGTGCAGGACCTTGCACTTGGCCTTGTTGAACTTCATGTGGCTCACACAGGCCCACCTCTCAAGGTCCTTCTGGACAGCATCGCCTCCCTCCAGCACGTTGACCACACCACACAGCTTGGTGTCACCGGCAAACTTGCTGAGGGTGCACTTGATCCCACTGTCCATGTCGCTGACAAAGATGTTAAACAGCGCCTGTCCCAATACCGACCTTTGAGGAACGCCACTCCTCATGGCACATTACTCAAATGATATACGTTGCCACTTGTCGTGGCACATTTCTCAATTGATATATGTTGGAATACATCCAAAACTACATGAATATAGCCAATAACCAGACAAGTAACATGAAGAAAAGCCAACTTGTTGAAGTTTAAATGCTGACATTATTCTGTACATTCATCATGATACCAGCTCTCAGGTTTTCTGCTCAGGATATTTTTCTTTGATTTATTTTTTTTAAACTGGGAGACATTCCAGAAATAGACATTTTGATGACTTTTTTTTTTTTTTGTTAAGTAATAAATCTTAAGGGGCAAATGTCAGGCTAAATTAAATTAGCGGCAGGAAACAACATAACCTAATGCTTATTCTTTAAGACAAATCTACTCATTTAAATAGTTATGTGCAATTCATCATATCTTGCAAAAAATGCAAGTGAATCATGGAAGTATCAATATTTCTGTTTTCCAGTGGAAAAGTGAAGGCATCAGGAAAATTCGGAGAATCATCCCACAGAATATATTTTGTAAGCATTTTTCTAGAAATCATCAAATCCTACAGAAAGTTTTTACAGTCAGCAATAATAAGTTCTGCCTAAAGGCTCAGCCACGTGGCTATCACTTGTTTCCTGAACTGACTCTCATCCATCTACTTCATAACAACATTCCAATTGCTCCCACATATTGCCATAACTTGGAAGCTGCACTCGTCAGGGGAAAGGAAAAGCAGTACAGAACTGGCCAGTCCAAAAAATGATGACATTAACATCAACGTGGTTTCACACAAACCAACTTAGAGACTCCTGTTTGTAAGGATAATCTAAGTGTTACTTTTACTTTAGAGTTACTGATACTGTAAGTGTATGCACAATTAAGTCATTCCTTTACTAGGTTTTTTTCCTTTTATTGTACACAACTATTTTTAAAAGAACAAAATCCATTTAGAGAAACATGAAACATAATATTGTGTATTGTCTACATGCAGTACTTGTTCTGCACTGACTCTATGCACGCAAGCCAAAATATCAAGAATTAACATGGCAGAAATAAAGGGAACATTTGAATCTAAACAACCATTTCTTTTCATTTTAACATCTCCACAAAGTTATAAGGCCATTAGCCATATATAAATACAAACACCAATAAGATGCTCACCCAGTTAGGAATAACTGGTTAATTTTTAGTTAATTTTTTTACATTGGATTGTTTATAAATACAGAAGGATGAAGACTTCTTACATGGAAAGGAACTATCCCATCATCTCAGGTAAAAACCTTCCAAACTCATTACAAACTTTTATGCAGAAGCTATGACTTTTATGCAAAACTTTTATACAATGTATCCTCAGTTTTCTCAATGCATACTGCAAAAAGTTGAAAGTATCGTAGTGCTACGAGAATTCACATCACCACACAGAATTTTTAACTATATCCCTGCAGATCATGTGCAACCAGGAAGGGAAATGGAAAGGAGGCCTTAATCCAGAGCAATTCTTTCGCAGGCCTAAGTTTCATGTGAGCTGGCCTGGTTTTCCACATAAATTAACTACTATCAAGTCATAAATTTGCATCACTGAGTTAAATCAGTGCAGGTGACTATACAGACCCTGCGGCTTCAAAAGGAATGCCTTTTTTCATTCGACTTCAGGATGTTCCTGTAGAACTTTAATTAACTTGAATTAAAGCATTTTAATTCATTTTAATTAAATTGTATTAGAAATCACTTTTATCAAGCTAGGTTTTATTTTAATGGCAAAACTCTACGTAAAAAGATCTTTAAAAAGCCTTAAGGTTTTTTGTCAAGGGCCCTTAATGCCTGTCACTAGCCTTCATCCAGTGCCACACACCAAACTCAGGGAGAGGAAATGGTTTTATGGATATGGATAGACAGCTTCAGCCTATTCATTTAACTGCAAAGAAGCATCTTTCTTCATCTTCTTCTCATGACCAATTATTCCTACTTGAGAATTGATTTAGGCGGATGCCAAAACAGCCTGCAAGAGCCAATTTGGCTCTTCCACGTATGTGGATGTGTATTTAATCTGTTACAAACTGTCTAATTTATACTTATAAAGCATCTACCACTCTTGCATTACTTATCAAATTCTCATTTTCAGAGCATATTTTGAAAACATTTCAGCTTTTTCCCCACCTTCATTTTTTAAAGAAAAGTTACTTCTACCATCTCCCTGAAACAATACTGTCATCAGCCCTGTAGTCATCTCACACAGAATCAGAGTCAACATCTTTGCAAAATCTTGGTTTAAACACGTATAACTTATTTGCAGTGTCTGTAAATATTTTGCTTACCAATATCAGCTTCCCTGTGATTCTTGATATATTCAGCGAGCTCAAAATTTCCTGCTATTATAGCCACCTAAAGGATTGTAAAATAGTTACAATTAATATATTGTCATCGCTTATTAAGTGGGAAAATATATACATTACATTACTGACAAACATCATACAAATATATTTTCATTTCACAAAGCAGAGTAACTATTCATTACTTCTATTCTGCAACTACTACACACAATAAATTTCTGAAACAACGTTGAGAAATGATATCTTAATCTATTTGTAAGCAGCACTGCCAGTCCCCTGGTTCCCCATTTACTAAGAACATTGCGATCATGGACGGCTCAGGCCACTGCTAGAAGAGCTGTGGCTTTTCACGTTGTGGAGTTAAAACCAGCAGTGAACATTAAACACACCATTCCCAAAGCTCTGGAAGCTATATGGATGTGTGGAGGATGCTATAGGAGCAGGCTCTGAGAAATACATTGAATATATTATTTCCTTTTAATTGCTCCTGACTCGCTACTTACCTGAACAATGAAAACAAGAGCTAAAATGAAACGTACGTGGGATAACCAGGGAAAAAGTACCAAGAACTGTAAGTACCCAGGTACCACTACAACACCAAAAAAGACTAAAAAAAAGAAGAACTGGAAAGGCTTATGCTTCCTTGCGGACGGACCCAGATTTAAACAAACGGTTTCAAAGGCAGTGACGTAATCTCCAATTTATCTTTTGGTCCTAAGCAAGTAACAGTTGGTCTAAAGAGAGACAGACTGATTTAGTTTAGGTTATAAAGTCTACTAGGTAGTAAAGTACAAGCAAGACTTTAAAAAATTACTATCAGAATAACTTTTTTAGGTTACCAGAAAAAGTTTAAAACAAACAACCAAACATACCATTTATTTTGGTCCTAAGCAAGTAACAGTTGGTCTAAAGAGAGACAGACTGATTTAGTTTAGGTTATAAAGTCTACTAGATAGTAAAGTACAAGCAAGACTTTAAAAAAATTACTATCAGAATAACTTTTTTAGATTACCAGAAAAAGTTTAAAACAAACAACCGAACCTACCATTTATCATATTTATGCCCTGAATCCAGGTTTTCCCCCAGCTGTTTGGTTTTTTTTTAATGCCTTTCAGGTTCTTTTTTTTTCTTGGGAAATTGTTTCTTGTTTCATTAAAAATTTTTCTCAAACATAAAGGCTAAATACAGTAATTATGTTTTCTTTTCATTTCAAGTGTATCTACTTTATGGCAGAAATTCCATTCCATATTTGTATAGCACCTAGCAGTTATACACTAATACGCACATACTTGTGTTTTAAAATCCTCAGTAGGCAGTCATAAGCATGGTATGAGCAGTATAATAATTTTTTTTCCTTTAAATAATTAACCCACATATAATATCACCATACTTACTAGTGATAATCATGTAATTATTTTCTCATTACAATATTAACAGTAGGGAAATGCTTTGCTTTAGGCATTTCTCAGTTGTGTTACGTCAAACTTTGATGGGTTCTTGGGAGCAAAATGCATTACTATGAATCAGTAATACTAGTTCAACTCAATCTCACTTCTCTCTTTAGACCACAGTTGAAAAAAAACAGTGTGTCTTCTCAGGTATGTCCTAAGACCTCTGCATGCCATAATACCTGCAAAGATCAGGGAGATCAGAGACAGAGGTAGTTTGGTGCACTGCCACCTCATTGCCAACAGAGGCAATTATCCATCGGAAAATTACTATTTTAACCATTAGTAAGGAGACCTTTATTCCAGGGACTACTCCTGAAAAGAAAAAACCTCTTCTCAGCATGGATAAGGTATCAGAATCTGGCCCCCAGCCTCCTCCGTACAGCTTCTGAAGTGCAACCCATGATTCTCCCTGGCAAGCAGCACTGTGACGGGATAATGCCGCCTCTTTAACTTCACATTCTGCAGCCTGGCTTGGTTCAGGTTCATAAAGCAACATTTGTGTGTAGATCAGGGGGTTTCTCTACGTTATAAGCAAGCAATACTTCCCTTCAACATTACCCCTAATTAGCATGTAAAATTCAAACAAGGAATTCACCAGGCAGCTTGCTAGACAGCAGCCACGTTACTCAAATGAAAGAATTTTTGATAGAGAGTAGATTTTTAAAACTCAAGTATAAACATGCTGTTCAAGTGATAAACACATTTTATTACTTGAAAAAAGATATTGCCAGATAGCTAAGAGACAGCTTGACAGACAATTGTTCCTGTACTTGCTTCTGAATCAAGCACTAGATTCAGCAAGCTCATGGTACCATTTCTCTCAATTTAATTTACTTCAATTCGCTAAAAACAGTATGTAAAATTCTAACAGCAAAAATGAAGGGAAAATATGTTACAATCTAAAGAAAGCAAGAAAAAGTTAAAAAGTACAAATATTTCTTGGCATAACATCAATGTACTTTACTTGAATTTGATGGGTAAAGAGTGTGGGAGAAAGTGAAGTCAGAGAAAAATCGGAAAGATATAAAATTATACTCATTCAATTTTTACAGTTGCAAACTACAAAGCACAGCAACCGCAGCCTCTTTCTTTTCCATCAAAACATTTCTTGAACCAGTTATAGTGCGTTCAAATTAAACTGTAAGCATGAATGCATTAGGACAAGTGAATGGTCTTCACAAGATCCAGGGCTTGAACCAAATTCAGGTGGTGTAAAGTCTCCCCTCCATTAAGAGGAAAATTAGATCAGAACCTAACTGAAGTTCTATATTTGTACTAAATTTCCTTGTACTTTAGAACAAATACCAATGTAGTATCTTTGCAGAAAATACTAGAGTTTGATTCTCTACATGCTTCATAATTTACATGTTTTTAAATAGCCATATTTTGCTTTTCGGGATATTCTGTAGTCAAGTGCTAGCTTTCCAATTGAGAGGTTATGGCAGGAAAGAAGGTTTTGTTTGGGTGGTTTGGGTTTTTTTTCCAATCACAAGATACCGCTTCTTGGCAGTGAAAAAGTAGCACAGCCAACAAAACTACAGTGAAAGGTTTTTTTCCAATTCCAGTAGGAACTGGATTCCTGTCATCAAAATGCATCACATGCATGTTTACAGACATGAAATATTACCAGGAAAGGCTGGAGGTAGCACTTTACAACTAGAGGCTACCTACAGACTCTGTTACGCTGAAACTTCAAAAATCACAGCTTTTTAAAAACTACATATACAGCAGTCTCACTATAATTCAGGTTCTTTCATTCCTGCAGCAAATGTCTTTTCATTTCGTCCTTTTGCCCCAGACAAGACACTTATGTCAGAAATCTGCATGTCCTTAGTCACATTATTCTGTAAACTTGATAAAACCCATTTCTGCATCTTCTTAAAAAAAAAAATTAAAAAAAAAAAAATCACCCCTCTACAATTTCCACTAAAACCTCCAAATTTTTTGCCCTACTTTTAAAGGACATACATACTTTGCATCAGCTCCAGAATCAGAAAGACTGTACGTGCGGCGTCACAGCAGCGTCATTCCAAGTCCAGCTGAAAAGTATGACTGAGTAGTTCAATGCTTTCAGACCCAAACCAGGATCTTATCTGCTGCACTTACATTTGGTTGGGATCTCTGCCATATATTCTACTGTACAATACTGAGAACAGAAACTCTCTTGGTTGTGTTTTTTATCATCATCAGAGGCAATTTTGTGTGAATGATAGTAACCAAAGTGAATCATTTATCAGCTCCCTCCCCTCCAAGTTAAACTGACCCCAGTAAGGGTATTAACTCAGGCACCTAATTATTTTCAAATCACATTTGATAACATACATGACTGACCTGAATAAGAACATACACTTACAACAGGGAAGTAAGCAGAAAGTAAAGCTAAGCAGGAAGTCATATCTTAGTAGGAGGTAATTCATACCAAAAAAAAAAAAAAAGGGGGTAACCCCATGCAGCTAAACTGGCGGTATCACCTCCTATTTCCACGACACGCTGTCTTCATAATGTCATCGTAACAAAAAGTTAATGGAGTCACTGAAAGAGGTCACGGCTCGAAGGGCTGTAAGCACCAAGCCACAGGGTTAATGACTCTGGGCAAGAAAACAGAGAGGAGACGAGAGCTGGTTGTCACTGTCAGGGTACGTGACGCAGAGCGTGACCACAAGCTGTGGCTTTACACGGATATCTGCTCTGCCTTGCTGGAAGCAAAGCTTGTTACAGTCGTCCCGTCGTCTCACTTAACTGTCTCACGGACAGATGTTTCTTTCAAATGAAGCAACTGGTCACAGTGGCTTACGGTTTGCCATGCCAGATGCTCTGCCACCAATTTAGAGAAGAAGGGAAGGAGTTTAATTGACACTTGGCTAGTTGCTATGGATGGTAACTAAGTGACAGCTCGGTGAAGTAGAAACTTGAATGAATGAAGTAGCTGTGACGCAGTGACTGGGGGGAGCAGGCAGGGGATGGGGGCACCCCATGATTGCTAGTCCAGCACAGGGCACTGGACGAGGAATGAAAGATGTAACTGGTGAGGCACCTGTAGAAGGGTACTTCTTTCTCCTGGCGTAGAATTATTCTCATCCTCTGGTTTTCTGATGTTTACAGCCAGAAATGTTCCCTCTGGATACAGGCAGTTTTTAAGGTGGCTTTCAGAAGTCAATGCAGAAATTAAACATCTGACGCATCTGGTTAGTTCTGCTTTCCTGAATCTTGTTCCCCAAAGAAATTTAGTTTAAATGACGGCAAATAAGACTACTTTGTGTAAACAGTGAAACCTGACAGATGTCCAGTTACAGGTTTCAGTGCGGCAGACTTTCATAATGTTTTCAGACTCTGGACCAGATATAAGTAGCAGCACTGACTCACCAACGTCTCTCTTTTCAGCCTCATAAATGCAGTTGTCAATATTTCAATTACTTACATTCAAGTATTTAGATTTTTTTCATTGTGATTAATGCAGTGTTTCATTCCTTTCGGGAAATTGGAAATTATATACACACTTTACCTGTCACTAACCTTTCACAATTGATTTTTTCCACTCTTGAAATGTATCACAGGTAGAGGTTACATTAAATTAGAGCAAGATCTTTGTAGCCTGTTAGCA